CCAAGGCTCTGTCCTCGGACCCCTCCTCTTCGTCATTTACCTCCTTCCTCTAGGTCACATCTTCCATAAATTTGGTGTCCATTTTCACTGTTATGCTGATGACACACAGCTCTACTTGTCAACAAAACCAAACTCCACCCACCCGCCCTCCATCCATCCTCACCGACTGTCTCAATGAGCTAAATCACTAGTTTTCTAACAATTTCCTACAACTAAACAGTGACAAAACAGAAATCATTTTTGTCGGTACCAAAAACTATTTCAAAATCAGAACATCTTCTCATCCTCCTTAACAACTCTCTGCTATCCCCCTCACTTCAGGTCAAGAGTCTTGGTGTCATCCTCGACACCACTCTCTCCTTCACTTCATACATCAACAATGTTACTCGGTCTGCCTATTTCCATCTCCGAAATATTAACCGTCTCCACCCTTCTCTGACACCCCGCTCCACAGCCATCCTTGTGCACAGTCTTGTGACTTCTCGGATTGACTACTGCAACTCCCTTCTTTATGGCCTCCCCAACAAATCTCTCCAGAAGCTGCAATTGGTCCAGAACTCAGCTGCCTGTATCATCACTTAAACCTCCTCCTATAACCACATCACTCCATTCCTGCAGCAGCTCCACTGGCTCCCGATTAAATCACGCATAGTCTTCAAAATTCTTCTTCTCACTTTCAAAGTTATCCACAACCTTGCCCCTCCGTACCTATCTGACCTCCTACACATCTCCATCCCCTCTCGCTTTCTCAGATCCTCCACTTTACTACACCTCCATGTACCCTCTGCCCACCTCTCCACCATGGGGAGCAGGGCCTTCTCCTGCTCTGCCCCTCACCTCTGGAACTCTCTACCCCCTGACTTACGAAACACCACCTCTCTTTCTTTTTCAAGACTGCTCTGAAAACACATCTCTTTAGACTTGCTTATCCTTAACTGTGCTGCATGTATTTTATATTCTTTACGCATTTTATATTCTGTATATATTTTATATTCTTTATGTATTTTATATTCTGTATGTATTTTATATTCTTTGTATTTTATATTCTGTATGTATTTTATATTCTTTATGTAATTTATTCCTGTTGATCTTTGCACTGTGCTTGTTTGTTTTAACACAAACTTTCTGATATGTTTCTTACTGTAAAGTGTCCTTGGGTGTCCTGAAAGGCGCTTTTTATTTAAAATGATGATTATTATTATTATTATTATATATATGTATATATATTCTCATACAGTGTATAGCCTACCCGTTTGTCTTGCACCAAAAACATTAAGGTTTACGTGCATTTGCTGTTGATTTTCAGTCCAGAAAAACACTCAACTTCAAAACTACAAACATTTCTTCTCTCTGGCTCTCACTTAAGGTGGCTGCTCGACTTTCCTTTCCCGTTTTTTCCTTCCCCTGCTTCGCTTTCTGTGTCTGAAGCACCTGGTACACATCTCCCGAACATAAATTAAGATTATGGATCTGGTATCCTGGACGTTCTACGCTGTCAACAACGTTCAACGCTATCGACAAGATTTTTTCAACAAAACTACAAGGTCCTGGAGAACCTGCCTGTCCAGCTGAGATGCACGCTGTGGTGTACGTCATGGACCCATGGGGAGTGTGGCAGTTGATGTGCCTCTCAGTCCTGTCTCTGGAGGACGCTGAAGACGTTTACATATTTGGATTTATGATATCTGGGACTCTGCTTTTTGGCATTGGCAGGACTCTGTTTTATCGACTATTGGAAAAGACATCGGCAGCAGTTTCGGCCATTACCAAGCTTCTGAGTTGGTGTGAAGGTTTGGTTCGTGCTGTGAGTACTCAAAATCAGCTGATTTACAAACTAAACCGTAAGGTGGAGGCAATTTATGAGAATCGCAGGCCACCTGCGGCTTCTGGGACTCGTCAGTGCGGTGGGATCGACCCCGAAGGAGACTCATAACTAGGGATGGGGCTGATCTGATCCGGTATTGGTATTGGAGGCCGATACCAGCATAATTTACATATCAGATTTTTCTGATCCGACCTGCAGAGATTTCCGATCCATGATGTATGTCTGTGTCTGCTGAAACTTTTCATGTGATTTCCTGCCAGCTGCTTTGCAAGTTGGCTTCAATCTATGGAATAGATTTCCTGAACAGAGGCGTGTCTCATGTGCCCAGCGTAATAAGCCCCACCTCACATTCAGGAAATCCATTTCATAGTTTGAAGGCAGCTACAACTTGAGGACTAAGTGAGCAGCACTGTGGCTAACAGCTAACCAACTTTTCATCGATACATGTCGGCTGTGTGGAAGTATTTTACACTAGAAGCACCACAAAGCAAGACAGCAATGTGTAATGTCCGCAGAGCCGTAGCACCACATTAAACCGTGGTAAAGTTAGTTTTACTTTGGACATTCAAGCTCCGTGCTTCAGCGATCTGTTCCTCTCGCTGAACCCGAAACAAGTAGCCCGACCCCGGCCAGCCGCGCCCAATCTGCCCCGCTCAGTTTGCCTGTCTCGGAGGAGGGGCAGACTGAGCGCGGCTGACTGAAATCAGACTGCCTGCTATGGATTGAACAAGAAGGACATACCGCTGAAGCCATGGAGCTTGAATGTTTACAGAGAAGCTGTTAAACTTCATCGTAATTAATGACCGACCGCTATCAGTTGTAGAAAACGAAGGATTTCGCAGCTTGATACTTGCAGCCAAGATATAGTTTACCCTCCAGGAGATATTTATCAGTACAACAGTAGACAATCATAAAAAAGCATATGAATTGAAAATTACAAGAAAATTATATATAAATAAAAACAAAAACAGCTACATTATAAAGCAATGTAAAACACTAAAAACGGGAACATGTCTGTGTTGGTTTATGCCATGAACTTAGCAGATGTTTAAAGCCATTTAATATTTTATTTAGTTCATTTATTCATTCATTTAAAAGAGACAAAATAAACAACAAATTCATCAAAAAGAAAACATTGAATGAAAAGAGTGCAGTCTTCCCTTTATTAAAAAAAACTTAAAACAAACAATCACTTAAATTACCTTTATCCACTTTAAAGCTAGGAGTAAAAAAAACATGTTTTGTGTTAGCAGGATTTAATTCTAACTTTGAAACTTATCCAACATTAATAAAACTTACCTCAATTTGCCTTTTTGGACATGCATGATATATTTGTACAAATTGTACTTGAGAGGAGATTATTGCAGCCTCATATAAAATCATTGATGATAATAATATTGGAACGGTATCGTGTCGGCCGATATACAGATTTAGGTATCGGGATCGAATCGGAAGTAAACAAAAAAAAAAAAAATGGATTGGTGCATCCCTACTCATAACATGGATCAGTGGAATGGATTCCTACAGTTAGGCCATTTTGGAACCAGAACATCCAGATGGACTCAAGGCTGAAGAAAATAAATCTGTCTGACTGAAGAAAATCAACAATCAAAGCTTATCTGAAACTGTCTCCCCGCTGGCCTCGGAGATGGGCTGACTATCAAATTTCTCCTGGGTCATGGATAACCAAGGACAAAAGCTTAATCACATAAAAAATAAAACTGTTTTTAAAACATTAATATTAATGATGAATGAAGAATATATATTATTTTATTATTTTTAATAATATAATATATTATTTTTATATTATTAAATATATTATTATATATTATATTATTTTTCAACAACCTTGACCACACATTCTTGAACTGGATTCTAAAATGACTCATCCTTATACCTCTTTATCAGTCTGTCAGGAGTAAACTATTTGGGAATAAAATCATATTTACTTGAAAGCCTGATGTTTGTATTTTAACTTTAATAAGCAAAGCAAACCCACACTTTGAAGATAAATTATAACAAATCAAATTTCAAGAGTTTTCCAGCAGGAGGTACATAGGGCTGGGCGATGTATCGAATATATTCGATGTATCTCAAGTTTTTTAATTTACAGGTTGTTAAAATGGCTCTATCGCAACCATCGAGTATAAATTGCCATTCAAATAATAAGCTTTCCGCATCAAATTCACTGTGAGTTTCGTTTATCCGACACGCTACGAATGCATCACTACTCCCTGCCCCCTCCCAACCTGAAAATGTTCCGCATGACACGCTGTGGGGAGCTTGGATAAAGGAAAAAATATGGCGACTGTGGGAGATTCAGGTGAACGGGTGAATGAGACGATAACTGAAGAGTCCGATGAACTAGTTCCGAAGAGAAACAGCACTGGATCAATAATCTGGCAGTGGTTTGGATTTTACAAGGAGGATGTCGAATAAAATGCGGTAATTTGCTAAACTTGTCGTAAATCCATTGCCACGAAAGGAAGCAGTACCACAAATTTATTTCACCACCTAAGAAGTCATCCACTGCAAAATTAAGAATGTTGTAAACTCCGTATGTCCACGTCTCCCCACACAACAAAGACAACGTTAAATAATACAGCTGCGAAGCAGATGACACTAGCTTCTTCGTTTGCCAAAGCCATCCCGTATGACAGAAAAAGTACAAAGTGGAGAGAAATCACTGACGCAGTAACAAAATTGATTTTACAATTTTTATGCAAAAAGCACTAACGAGCACCTTTTTATTCAGACAACTGGTTTATTTTTCATTGTGGATTTGTGCTTGGTGTACTTTTTTTTGCTTGTTTATCTTGTTTATTAAAGGTATAGTGTTGACCACAGTAAGAGACAGTGGTACTAATTTCATTACTGAAGAACATGATTTGTGTGCAACTGATGGTTACAATAAAACATTTAAAACTTATTCTGATTTTGTATTCAATAAAAAAAAAACATCATTGGTCTGTTTGAATAGAGTACACCAGTGCAATTTTAAATACTAGTTTAAAGTAACACTGGAGATTATTTATTAATATTGTGATATATATCGTGTATCGTGATATAGCAAAATAATATCGGGATATTAGATTTTCCTCATATCGCCCAGCCCTAGAGGTACATCAAGTTATCTGTGAGTGTTCTGATTGTGAATGAAATCATGTCTCTGTAGGTTGTCAAGTCTGACACTGACTGCGAAGGTGCAAGTGAGTCAGGGACCCAGACGGAGCGCCGACAGCCAACAGCTCAGAAGAAGATCAGTCATGGTGTTGCTGTAGAGGACCAGTCCAGTGAAGTGGATGAACTCATCAGCAAATATCAGAACATGTCAATCAGTGATCCAGGTACTGAAACTGTAATCTAAGCAAGCATACAGACATGTCTCCGTCCGTCCGTCTCCCATTGATAAAAAACGTATAGATGAGCAGCGCCATACCAAGAGAACTGATTTAGGAGAAACACTGAACAAATATATATATTTATAACTTGTCAACTGGTCAACGTGAAAGAAGAGAAACGTTCTGACTTCCATCTTGGAGTGTGGCCGCATTTGGGTGAAAGAAAGGTCACCATCGAAGATTGGGTTGCCACATGATGGCTACTGCCCTATATGTAAACTGGCCACACCTGTCATTTGAAGAGTCAATGCTTTCTAGTTTTTATATTGCCTAAAAGAATAGTTTCCTCAAATGATTGGGGTAGCTGAAGATTAATTTATGGGGGCAAAGACCACAGTCAGGTGGTGGAAAAAGTGACTCACTCCAGGATCCGTCACTCTGCACTGCTTCGAACAAACAAACAAAAAGAACCTCTGTTCTTCTCCACAGTGTAACCCCTACCCACTTGAATATCTTGCACAAACAACTTTAAAGTTTACTTTCATTCTCTGTTCAATTCCTGTCCAGAATAAAGCTCATCTTCAAAACAACCAGATTCCTCAGTGACCGGGGTCGGCAGTGTATCTTGTTGTTTTGAACTTTGCGTAGCCAAAGTGTAACCGTAAGTGACGACAAAGGGAACTCCCTGTCTTTGTTTACATGTTAAACTAGGGCTGGACGATATGGCCAAAACTTTTCTCACGATATATTTCTTAATTTTGGTCTAACAATATAATTCTGATATTGATATAAACAATATAAAAGCCTCAGACAAACTGTACATATAAATTAATGTTCACCTTTTAAATGTTGGGACATGTTGGCTCAAACTTTTATTGTGCTTAATTTTCTGACTTTCAGCATATTCTATAGAGTGGAACAAGTCAGATATGTTCCCACTGCTAGTTGGAACGACTCTCTGGCACATTTTGCAGCACACTGAAACCGGATCTTAGATAGCCAAACCACTTCCACACCGCCAAATTAGTCTTTCCTCTCGTCAATTATGTCATCTTCTTTCTCTTCGCTTGTAAAAGCTTATTCAGTCACATTCATGGGCACATTCATGGTCATGGGCACTCGTTTTGGAGCGAAAACAATGCGCGTTAGAGCTTAGCCTAGCCTGCTACCACTGGTGCCTACCCTTCTGGACTCGGACTCTGTGTAATATCTACAGTGAGGAAAATAAGTATTTGAACACCCTGCGACTTTGCAAGTTCTCCCACTTAGAAATCATGGAGGGGTCTGAATTTTTTATCTTAGGTGCATGTCCACTGTGAGAGACAAAATCTAAAAGAAAAATCCGGAAATCACAATGTATGATTTTTTAATAACTCATTTGTGTGTTACTGCTGCAAATAAGCATTTGAACTCCTGCCAATCAGCAACAGTTCTGGCCCTCAAAGACCTGTTAGTCCTCCTCTATAATGTCCACCTCCACTCCACTTATTATTCTAAATTAGAAGCACCTGTTTGAGGTTGGTAGCTGCATAAAGACACCGGTCCACCCCACACAATCAGTAAGACTCCAACTACTAACATGGCTAAGACCAAAGAGCTGTCCAAAGACACCAGAGACAAAATTGTAGACCTCCACAAGGCTGAAAAGGGCTACGGGGCAATTGCCAAGCAGCTTGGTGAAAAAAGATCAACTGTTGGAGCAACTATTAGAAAATGGAAGAAGCTAAACATGACTGTCAGTCTCCCTCGGACTGGGGCTCCATGCAAGATCTCACCTCGTGGCGTATCAATGATCCTAAGAAAGGTGAGGAATCAGCCCAGAACTACACGGGAGGAGCTGGTCAATGACCTGAAGAGAGCTGGCACCACTGGTTCCAAGGTTACTGTGGGTAATAAACTAAGACGTCATAGTTTCAAATCATGCATGGCACGGAAGGTTCCCCTGCTTAAATCAGCACACGTCCAGGCCTGTCTTAAGTTTGCCCATGACCATTTGGATGATCCAGAGGAGTCATGGGAGAAAGTTCTGTAGAAGGAAGGATGGTTTGAATTTTCTCTCTAATTATCCTGATGCATGCTCAATAATGCTCAATAATTATTGAGCATGCATCAGGATATTTTGAATCACGTTGGCCAGGATTGCCTCAAATTAGTAAGAGAGTTTGAGAAAACAGCAAGGAAGAGGGCATACAGGAACCACTTGCGATTCAACCTCAGATTTTGGCAAAGTGGCATCATTCCCAAGAGCCTGGAACTAAAATCATCGGTCAGCGGGCACCGGGCAAGCAAGATCCTTAAGAAGGCACAGACCCAGCTGCTGAATGAACGGGTGAGACAGACCAATTTTACTATTGAGGCCTTGAAGGCCAAAGAAGAGCACATTAAACAGAAACTAACTATGTGTCTAGATCAGACCACACTTCAGCAAGTGTTGGACTGTACAGATCAGGCACGCTTAGCACAGCATGTCAAGTCCAAGACTCGACAACAAAATAAGTTTAACTTACTAATAACTCATCAACACCATCATTATTCCAATAACAACACATTCAGTGTAGGACAACACTCCAGTAGTCAATTACATGCCAGGGAGACAGAAAAGTGGGTGAAGAATTTATCTGACAGAGCTCACCCAGCCGGAGACAGAGATTCTTGCCAGTGGACTGAACTTTGCGGTTGCACCAAGTAGAATTCCTCTGGTGGAGATGATCACAGCCACAGAATCAGCCATCCGCAACAACAAAATGAAAGAGGGTGAAGCAGAACAGCTCAGAATCAAAGTTTCATCCTGCCTCAGCAATGCCAAACCACCACCTTCCAACATCAGTAGAGAGGAGAGGGGTGCACTCACCACTCTTAGCAAGGACAAAAACATCATCATTCTCCCAGCAGACAAAGGAAGGTGCACAGTGATTTTGAACCAGAAAGACTATCATGAGAAAGTTATGACACTCCTTAGTGACTTAACCACTTATGAACCTCTGAAAAGAGATCCAGGAAGTGGTTACAAGAAGAAGTTAATAGATTGCCTGAAAAATTTGGAGCAGGACAAGGCTATTGACCGTATTCTGTACCACAGACTGTACCCAGGGGAGGCCACACCTAGTCTGTATGGTTTACCTAAAATCCACAAACAAGGTGTACCTTTAAGACCTATTGTTAGCATGATTAACTCTGTCACTTACAATGTTTCCAAATATCTGGCGTCTGTACTCATCCCTTTAGTTGGCAGCTCAGAACACCACATACAGAACACCATGGACTTTGTGGATAAGGTGAGGGATGTCATCATGGAGACTGATGAAACAATGGTCTCTTTTGATGTCACATCACTCTTTACGTGCATTCCTGTTGATGATACAGTAGAGGTGGTCAGTTTAAGATTAAAATCAGACACCACTCTGAGC